AGAAGACAGACGGGGTCCCTGACATCAAGCGGGACTCAGGAGAGAAAGACACTTGATACAACATGGCAGGAGGGGTCCGACCCAGTGACTTCCACTCAGGGCTTCGGAACCGCCAGGAGGGAGACACCAGCGCCGACCATCCACCAGGAGGGCTTGGTGGACGCGGGGCTTTGGAGCAGGGGAAGGGCTAGGCCGCCTCTAGCGTGTGTCCGCGGAGGGCAGGGCCTGCTGGTGAGCGCCACACGAGGCCGCCAAAGGCCCCCGAGGGTGGGCTTTCCTTGACATGTTCCGAATGGAGGGCTGGCAGTAGGAGCCCCACGAAGGCTCCCACTGCCCCATGGGACTGGACCGCTTTACACAGCTCTCCCTGCGGAAGAACTTCCCAGAAGCAGCTCCCCACAGGATGGACACTGCAGTTTCCCGAACTCATCAGATCCGACAGCCTGCACAGACAGGCACCCCAGGCCGGGAGCCCAGAGCCTCTTGTGGGAGGCTGTTCTGGGAGGTGGCAGGTGTGCCCACGGGAGGCTCCTGGTGGTCTGGAGCATTCTCAACAGGAAGCATAGGGCATGTGGGGGTGTTTCCACAGCTCCCAACCCCGTGCATCACAGAATCCCAAGCCTCAGCCCCCAGGACAACACAGCTGAACTGGGGGTGGGGGGCGCACGTTCACGAGCCTGGGTGGCGCCTAGACCGCGGATGTGGGTCCTGGAGCCCTGGCTTCTCCTGCACCACCGCTGACAGAGAAGCCGAGGGCCTGGCGCTCACGGGGAGAACGAGCCAGCGGAGGCACCCGGCCCTCAGGGCCCCCTCCGGTCATATCTTCAAGAGCCCTTTGTAGCTATAAGGAACAGGCTCATTTGAAGAAATGTGGTAAGTATAGAATGAGGAATGAGGAAGGAACACTTTGGAACCACCACTGATTTCAATCAGTCGGCCTAATTTTTATCTGTGCATATTTATGTAGATAGAATGTACCACAAAGTTCTTTTTTACTTTTGTCTACTTAGTATACGTAAGCACTTTCTATTAAAAATAGTTTTTAATATTGTAACGCTGCACATCAGCCAGGCCCTTCACTGCTGGAGGCTCAGGCTGCTGCAGTTTGACGCCTGGCAAGGTTGGGGGAGCACACGTGTGTGGCTCCCACTCCACACCCCACTTCGGAGTAGCCAGCCACCCCTAGTTTGGTGCTGCCCCACTCTGAGATGGGGTCACAGTCCTCGCCTGTGTGCCCCTCTCTGTCCAGGGAACAAGCACTTTTTTGCTGACAGTCTGATGTCAGAACTGTGCACATCTCACTGTCATCAGCATCGGACCCCAGAGCCAGCCTGCAGTCTTGCCAGAGCTCCGGGCAGGAAAATGCGGGCATCCCTGCCACACAGGCAGCCACGACCCTGGAGGGCATCAGGCTTGGGGCTTCACCAGGGCAGGGAGAGCACTGCTGGCCATGCTAGGCTTCTGTTCCGACGGGCTGCAGCGGCAAGTGGCACGCCAGCCCCCCGCGACCATCCCCTTGGCATGGCTGTGGGCAAGCCCGGGTGGTCTCGGGATTCTGCAGGCTGGGCCATGCAGAGGGGCTTTGTGGTCTCACTGTGCACCGAGGGGCATCCTTCCACGCTGCCACGGAGGTCCCTGGTGGCAGAGCCCATCCTGAGGGTGCCTCATGGGGCAGACGTGGACCTTACCTTCCAGGCTGTGGTTTGATCAGCACACCCTGGAAGTAAAGAGCAGACCCACTGAATGGCACGCTACCAGAGAGAGCTGGCAACACTCTCCAGGACCCCAGAAACTTACTGTCTTGTTCTCAATTTCTTATCTTAAATAAAAGCATAGAAAACAAAGCAAAACAAAAAACCCCTCAACTGATAACAATAACCAAACCCTTCACAGGCTACATACCAGTGGGGGGCCTGGGGCTTGGTTCCAGACCCACAGTGAAGGCTGTGGGGTGCCCTCTCCCGAGTTACAGCTTCCGCAGCAGAGAGTGGGAGCCCAGATCCCACTAGTGATTGAAGTGTCCAGCAGACCCACCCTCCAGGCCCATCCTTGGCCCAGGGGGGCCCTTCCCGCCAGCCGTTCCCTGGGGGCATAAGGCTCCACCCCTCAGCCCTGATGCTCAAGGGTGTAGCAGAAGTGCCCCACGCACTCCTCCAGAAGAAGCTGCAGAGACGCAGCTCCGGGGTGGGAGCGGGGGCATGGGCACTGCGGAGACTCACGCAGGGTTAGATGCCAGGGCAGAGGCCCGGAGGAGAAATCTGGGCCTGTCCTGGGCAAGCAGAAAGCTGCAACCTCTTCTTGACAGCTTCCTTTTCTTCCTCCCAACACCCGGCAACACGAGCCTTCTCTTAAATGCAAAGTTTGACTCCTGTGCATACTTGCACCCAACAAATTACAGACCACCCGAAATCAGCTTCCTAGACATCCATGCTCACAGAGAAAAATTAGGTAACCCAAGTTATCAAAGCCCCGACCACTCAGAGGTTCCTTGGGTTAACATTCTGGGGTGCATCCGTACAGATCTCCTCCCCGTGAAGACCCAGGATGATTCATGGGGCCCTCCTTGGCTTTCTGCCCTAGGCCCTTTCTCATTTCACAATGCATTATAAAGTTGCTCCTTCTCAACTGATATTATCTTGTCACATAACTTTTTAAGGTCGCATGTTATTTGACTCTAAGAAGAAATGACCGTAAGCTGTTCCTCAGGGTTGGCACATCTGGGTTATTCTGGGCCTTGCTCTATGCGCAGCCTGGGATGCACACCTTTGAAGCTACACCTTTCCAGGCCCCTGGCGTGTCCCCGTGACGGCCTTAGCTTCCAGCGGCGCACAGCCAGAGAGAGAGGCGTCCATTTGTTTACGGCTTCTTATGCCCTGTGGGGGTCTTCACGGTTCACTGTTAGTGTGGATGGTACACTTCCCAGTACTTTCACCAAAATGAGTATTTTGATTAAAAAAAAGAAAGCCTTTACCATTGTGTCGCCTCCTGTGTCCTTGATCTCAGTACCGTGTTCCACTGTCCTTGAAGAGAACACAGCAGAGAGGCAGGGCCCAGCCTGAATCCTGCTGCAAGACTTGCTATGCTTGTGAGCGGGATATATAACTCGGCCCTGCGACTCTTCACTGTCACCCCCATAAGTCACAGGATTTACAAAAGACAATGCATGCGACCATTCAGCACAGGCCTGATGGGGACGAAGTGTTTAAGGGACAGAAGCTTGTCACTTCTTTTTTTTCTAGAATGACCTCTCCTTGTCCCTCTGTCCCTGTAAATCTGCTCAGCTGACCTCATTCTAGTCCTTGTTTGGGCCCCCCAACTTCTCCTGAGCCAGCCTCTCTCCCCCGACCTGCCCTCCTGGCCCTTGGCACTCACACCCAACCCGCTCTTAGAAAGGACTCTTGACCTCCAACTGGCCACATGCCACCAGCCTGGGAGCCGGGACATCCCTATAAGAGAATCTTTAGATGTGGAAACAACCGTTCATGTTTCTCCTAATGGAGGTTCTAATATTTCTCAGATTTTATACTTTTAAAGACCTTATTTGAAATGTGTTTTGCTAAAAACACTTCCAATAACGATTTCTCTCTTCTAGCTCCATTTCATAACAGGTTCTTTAAGGGAAATTAAACAATGCGAACAAAAGGAGACATGTTACAGAAGCAGTCAAGCTACCAGAAGAAGAGACCCCCTCTCATCTGGGGCGGCAGACGTGGCCTGGCGGCCCCCCTCCCCGTCCCAGCCCTGCCGACATGCGGCGTCAGAGGCCGCTCTTCCCTCCCTCGTCTGTGGCAATCCTGGGACAGCGCCGCGTGTCCTGTTTCACAACCGCGGCCCTCCTCACACGGCCTCTGCTCCCGTCTGCCTGAAATGGTGGTGCCAAACCTCTCCCCTCACAGGGCTGAGTCCTTCTCTCCCCTGCTCTGTAACTCGAATGATGTCCCTGCTTACAAATGAAAAATAAAGGCTGGGACACTCTCCGCAAGGCACCCTCACCTCCCTGGGCTCCAACAGCTTCCACCTTGGCAGCTGCGTTTCTAAATGCACCTGGGGCCCCTCAGCGGCGTGTCCTGCTGCTGCCCTGACGCACAGTGACTCCTTCGGTCACCTGCTCACATTCTACCCTTTCCAGAACCCCACGCGAATGCCAACTCCCGTACACGGTCTGCTTGGAGTTGCCGTGTGCCCCAGACAGCCCTGCTGTGGGCTTTGAGCTCTGGGATGGCCAGACCACCTCACATCTGTCTCTGGTTCCCAGGCAGCACCCCACCTGGGGCCACACCTTTTATCTTGTTTCAACTGGATTTCCTTCTCACAAAGCCTTAACAGTAGAAAAATGTGATTGGGAAAAGTTAACTGAATACGCCCAGCACTGTGCTGAGGTCTGGAAGGTAAAGAACGAAAAGGAAGCCCCTGACCTCAGGAAATGGGCAAGAAAAGGACTTCTCAAAGGGAAGACAGTGCTACATATTGGACAACAGGAAGCGTGAAGGAAAACTGGGTTGCACTGAGGCAGGAAGCAGTGTCAGTTCAATCAAAGGCTTTGGTGTGTCATGAATTTGGGATAAAAAAAAAAAAGACAAAATCCAGAACATATGATTTGAAAATTTAAGAAGTAAACACCAGAGATCTCTAGGCAGGAACTGACCAGGAGTAGTCTACTTTTATGGAAAAAGCAAACAGCATATGACTGCTGATTAAGCAAAAGGTGGATTCCTGGATGTGGCAAGAACCTGGGCAGGGGGCCAAACCCTTAAACCCCCGGCTGACGGCAACTCACGGGGTGCATGCAGCATAAGCAAGCCTGGGGTGCCGTCAGCGAGGCTTTTGTGTGAAGCGTATGGTGTCACAATAAAATCCACCTGCAAGTATTCCCACTCCTGAAAAGCCACTAAGTCACACAGCAAACCTCATAAGCCCCAGGACATGCGTGGGCTCCCTGCAGTGCAGGCTTAGTCAGACCCCCCACCCCTGCCAGCGCACACCCCCACCCCACCACTTACTCTGGGTCTCGCAGTCCACGCAGTGCGAATTGCCTCGGATGTTTCGTATCGACTGCAAGGCCATGGCCTCACTCTGGCTTGTCAGCCGGGACTGGACATATAGGAAGACATACAAATGCAAGATATAAGAACCCCCAGAAAAATTTACATGTCTACGAGTAACGTCAGGGAACAATCAGACTGACGGCGAGCAGGTGCAGGGCGAGGGCGATTCTGAGCGACGACTCTTCTGGTATCTTTTGGAAGAAGCTTAAATGAGGGAGATGCATTAGGCGCCGTGAGGAAATACCGCGTTACGATTCATCAGATGAGACGGCTGCTGGGGATGGGGACAGAGGCGAGTTCTGGATTGTTTATGACTGAACATGAGACCAGCTACCATCTGGAGAACGTAACTGGCTGACACACTTCTACTGTCTTCTGTCTGCCTGCTATGAAGATTAAACAGTGAGGAATAATCTGCTTATAAGCCGAGGGTCAGGCCTTCATCAGCGCTGTGCGATGTGACTCATGATTCCTTGTCAGGACACCGCGTCCACACCACACTTCATGCCTTGGAGATTCACTTACCATTTTAAGACTACCTCAATTGCTATAGCAGCAAAGTTACTAACTAGTGTGGGGGTCCAGGGTGTGTGTGTGTGTAGCTGGGAGTATTTGTTTTTTAAACTTGAGCTCAATTATCTCAAGAAAGTTAAAAATACACAGAAGGGTGAAAAAGAACAATATAAATACTTATAAACTATGATATGATCAACCATAGTTAAGTTTCATTAACATTTTGTTATCTATTCTTCTAGCTCTTTTTAAAGCACATCTATATGCAGAGATACACTTTTAAAAAAGCCAGCAGAGTATATATGCTTTGGAATCTGACTTTTCACCCTGATGACATATCGTCATCTCTCAATGCCATCATGTATGTTTTGACATCATTGTTTTAAACGGCTGCATAATATTCCACTCAGGACAACTTATTTACGATGTTTTCTTTGATGGACATTTGTTTCCATTTTCCTCTATTGTAAACAGTGCTGAAAAGGATACCCTTATAGCTAAATCTTTGCATGCATTCATACTTATTTCCTAATGATGAATTCCTGGAACCAGAGGTGCTAGGTAAAGGATATATATTGTTTTTAAGGCTTATGATGCATACAGTTAATATAATGGTTAAAGCCAAATGAACTTCAGAGGACTCTTAGAATGAGTTTGATTTTTGTGTGTTAATTCTTCGTACACTGAACCATCTTACATCAAACTGTTTGATGTGAAACAATGATTGCTTACTACCTAATAATAAATTATAATTTATTAATTGCTACTAATTTGCATGCTATATTATTGGGGTTTCCCTTTGGCTAGATACCCAAGTATTCAAAGTAGAGTTAACAATTTATATGGGCACCTGGAGTACGTGTGTGTGTGGGTACACACACAGGGATGTGTCTATCTGTAATTTTTGTGGTATATGTAGGTCCATACCTGCTACCAACTTTGAATTAGCCACAACCAGCTAAAATACCATAAGCTTATTCTCATCTGAGTCTGTATTTTCCCCTCCAGCTTTTCCCTGCGGACATTATTTCCATGTTGTACGCTTGCATATCTGTTCAGCAAGTGTTTCAGGTGATTCCAAATCGTCCGGAATCCCAGTGACGTGGCACGGACTCAGTCGGACTTAAGATACTGTGATTTTATACAAATTTTGGACATGTGTTTGTTCGGCCACACATGCTCTCCCCACTCCTGAAACTAAATTCCCATGTTCTCTGGGTCACACGGGTCACTGAACCCACTGACGGGGAGATCTAGAAGCTTCCTGAGTCCACTTCCAAAGCCATGTGACTCAGCAGAACCAAGGCGCTCAGAAACGCAAGGCAGTGAATCAGCAATTCTCTCCACCTTGGGTGTAAAACATCTTTGAAAAAGAGAAGCAAATTACATTATAATAATAATGACTGTGGTCTGGTTTACCCTGGTTAAAGAGGGTAATAAAGCGAGACACTCCATCTTTCTGAAAGACAGACTCCCTTCTTAACGGCAAGGCTGAGCATAAATCATTGGCAGAAATTTCTTTAAATGGTTACGAAGGAAACTGCAGGTTGGCGGGCAATCTCCTTTCCTTCAGTTCCTGGTTGATCATGGTTTGCAAAATCGAAATGCTCTCCAAGACTCTAAAATGGTCTAGAGAAGGGGTGAAACATATCCAAGTATTAGAATAATGAATTTGAAGGAATCCCCTTGGGAAAAATGACATTTGCGTAAGGACTGTCACTAGGCAGTCAGTTAGAAAATGCAAGTTTCTCTCTCTTTTTCTTGGCTAAACAACTGCAAAAGAATTACATCTAATTACTGAATAGGACACACACCACGCTTTTTCAGCAGTTCAGAAAAGGGACACTGTAGCTTCCCCAACGTCTTTGAATGCTCACATATGGGCATCTACTTTTCATTTATGCCTGTAACAAGCATCAGTTTTCTACCTTGACATGAATTTGAATTTTGTGCTTTTATGAAAACAGGCTAGTACATCTTTTGAGCCTGCATCTCTTTTCTTGAGTGTATTCTGCCTAAAACAAAAATAAAAGTGGACACATAAGCTACAAGAGTCCAAAAGATCCCATCATCTACAGTAAAAAGGTCAATGCTTTATACCTGACATTAGTAGAGAGAATAAAGATTTAAAGTGGGATATTCTGCCATATGAACATGGTTAAGGTAGGATACTAGTATCTGATACCTACCCACACAAAGTGTTTTTTATCTTTTCAATTATTTAGTTTTTTGCTTAGAAAGAATGACTGGGTCTTGTCAATCACACACATCATATGATGCCTTCCCCTCCCTTGGGAATCACGCCAGGCCTCCATTTCCCTTTAACGATGAACAGCTCTTGATTTCGGGGGGCAGCCTGCTAAGGGTCTTACCTTATTCTTGCTGCTCTCACACGACTGTAAGCTGGCTAGGATCTGGCTCTCGATGGCTTGGACCCACGCATCTCGCTCTTCATAAGTGGTGGCTTCAAAGTGCCATGTCTGGCCAGTGAGGGACACAATGATAAACTCAAAGTTTTCTTCTTGTTCTGAAACACAGAGTGGTGGGGATGCAGAGTTTAGCTTTCATGAGACCGCGGCCCCTCTGCCAGTCCTTGGTCATAAAAGTGCCTTTGGGTTCAATAGTGTCTGCATGGGGCTGGCGGCACACACAGGCCCGGCCGACTACACAGCGGAGATCTGAATCCACAGACCTCCAAACACTCCAGATTTGGTTCCTGAAGCCGGCATGGTTTATCTCGGTTTCAATTAATGCTCAGGGGATGAGGAAAAATGAAGACCTGTGTGTGATGTCGGTGTCTCTATGTTGGGCACAGATGAAGCAACTTAGGAAAACAACACTGTCACTTACTGCCAACCACTGGTATCTGTGGGATGAAAATTAAGTTAATACCGCTAATCTTGGGGTGTAGTTTTGATTCCTTTATCAGGATCGGTGTGTAGATCCATAGATACACCACAGCAAAGAGTGACGCCTGGGGGTTTCTGTTCTTCCATGGAAGAACGACTGCTGTGGAGAAGATTTTAATTCCATTGTCTTCAGACCTGGAAAGCGAGAGGGATTTCAGGTGATTTGAAGGGGCCTCGTGGCTGCCATGGGATCGCCGTCCTGACTGGAAAGAGCTGGGCATGTAACCAAATCTCGTTGTGCCACCTGTCATGCTGGGGTCTTTGGATGAGATCTCGACCCCTCCGTGGCTCACCTCCTCACCCTTAAAATGGGGGAAGGGCCACCTGCTTCACAGTCTCCCTCTGGCTGAATGACGTGCCCACTCAGGCCGCCGCGGGGCCTGTGCCACGGGGGACACTCTCCTCATCTACCGCCTTCCTGTCACAGGGAGTGGAGGCGCCGCACGGAAATGGCATCACCCGAGACGAGTGACCGTTAAGGAAGCCAGAGCTGGGTGTTCAGGCGCATCTCATTTGATTTGTAGTTTTCAGTGACGGGTCTGTGAACGGCCTGCGCTATGATCACCTGGTGAGCAGCCGCTACTGATGAAAGCCTACGGCCCACCTAGTGACCACTCGCTAGTGACCTGTCATCTCAGTGGCCCGACACTGTCATCCGGGCCCCACACATCTGCACAGACCCCTCATTGTCCACTCCCTTCTCCACTAGCCTTGCGTTGGAGCACCTTGCACGCCCGAACTTGGACCCCTGACCTCAGCTGGGCTCAGTGCAGCCAGGTTGGCCCCGCTTCTCTAGGTTGTTCCCCAAGATCCTGCATCATCAGGGGCCCTTTGGCCTCCAGACAAGGACAATCACTCAGCTTGTCTTCAAAGCGGCTTTCGCACTCTGCAGCCATCCTTCCCTCCTTCCTTTAGCGTAGCTATTGTGGCTGAGACCCCTCCCCACTGACCCCAGGGATGGGATCGTCCTTAATGCACAGCCAGGTCTGGGGACCTACTTCCCTAAACAACCTGGGGGTTAGATTCTAAAAGAGGAGGAGAGGCACGATGCTGACTTTACACAGGACACAATCCTGTTGTTATCAGTGCGAAGGATTCACGCGGAAGTGCCAGGTGAGTTGCGTCTGAACCTGGAACTGGCTCTGAACAGCACCCGAAGGCAGGACAGCTGGGTACATCCACCTGCAAAACCGCTGGTGAGGGGTTTTTCTCCTATCAGTGCACCCAGCCTTAGAGTGTATGGCGTTTCTCTGGCAGGAGGGTTCACGGCTTCCACCAGCTTCTCAAAGCTCTGTGACTCCCTGGAGATGCTGGAGGCGCCTGTAAAGAGGAGGCAGAGTGGGGTGCTAGAAGAGTGCTGGGGTGCAAGTGCTCAGTGAGGTCAGCCTGGCCCTGGCTGTGCTGCACCCACGGCCAAAAGGAGCTAAGCCAGGCTTCAGGTGGAGCAGATCCGGGAAAGCTCAGGCAGGGGCCGAGCGACGAGCGGCTGTCATGCAACGTGAGACACAGGAGGGCCGCTGGGCTGCAGGGCAGGTGAGCACCCCACGCTCCGGATCCCTCTGGGCCTGAGCTCTGGGGAGCTGGTGTGAAGAGCTCAGAAGCTGAGGGAGTCCTCGGAAACCTCATCCCCATCCGCTGGGCTCTTGAGTTGGAGAACAGATGACCTGCATTCGTGAAGCGGAGGACTCCACCTGCTGTGCAGAAGGGGGGTGGGGGAGGACGGCTGGGGCACAGGCAGGCCCCTCCCCTTCCCCAGCGACTCAGGAACTTGCTGGGATTTCCATTAAAAAAATTAGCTTCCAAGCAGATTTGCCCAACACTGACTGGCAATTATTGGCTGAGACACTACACCAGTGGATTTTAAAAGGCCCAGCTTCTTGATCCACAGGTTTTTATGTCGTAATACGACATATCACAATCTTTTCTACACTGATTCTTGTAAGCTGGTGCCCCAAATCCATGTATTTTCATGCAAAACAACCCTAGTGAACTGATAGGCAAGTAAGAACTATGTAAGTCACAGTCTGGCTGTTGCTAATTCACAGGTGGAATGTGACGGTGTAGAAGAGGAGAGCTACTGGACAGGTGTGCATGTATTTAAACCTGTGAAATTCAAATGCACATACAAAAGTACCATTTGCTCAGGATTTATTGGCTCTCTGAGTGAAAAAATCATGACCACTAACTTCCCAGTTAAATTTCTGCACAACTGGTCTGCCATAAAGCTTTCCTGCTCAAATTTCGAGCCAGCATCATGAGCTACATTCAGTGGAACTAAAGGGATGAGGCTGTTTGACGCTGGCACGGGGCCATCACGGTGGCTCTCAGCCCCCTCCCCACAGGCCAGGTGCTGTGCTGGGTGCAAAGGTCCAGCATGCAGGAGGCATGGCCTGTGCTCTCTGCATGTCTCTACATGATGGGGACAGGCGCACACACGTGCTCGGATGTTTGAACACAAAGCAATGGAAAGAACAATGGAGGTCTATGGCACAGGGACGTCTATACTTTTTGTCTCATTTCAGTGTAATAGCTGTTTCTATGCCTTCTCCAGTGAAATACTCTCAATACAGCATGCAAAAACCAAACTTTCAAATTAAATTGCTAAAGTACAGTTGGCTTTGCCCTACCCACTATGTAAACAAAATTTACCTATGGGTGCAAAATCTACTTAAGGAAACATGTATTTAAGTGTTCACAGGAACATCAGAATTCATTTCTTGCAAATTTCCAAGTGTACTTGCCCTGTGGTATCTCTTCTATGGCTTCTCCCTCACCTTAAAAACCAGTTCCACCACCTACCTCCTTCTACCTAGACTGGACACAAGCTTCCTTTTCTAGTTGTAGTATCCCCTATGTCACTAAACATTCCTGTCTTTACTTTCAATAGATTCTCTCTCCCTCAGAGGCATCCACAGATGGACCAGCCAACTTCTGGGTTCCACTCTATGGAGGGATTCAAACACTTGTTTGGCCTTTCAGAGGAAACTAGAGGAATTCAGCATCTCAGCGGTGACTGTAGGGTCCCCAACGCTGGGATGCTATGAGGGCCACGCAAGATAGTTCTCAACTCCTTTGTAATTCAGCTTCGAGCAGCCCTCAGGAACTCCCTGCTGAGGGTTCCAAGGACGGCCCCAGGCTCTTGGAAAGTGAGTGCTGCTGCCAGTTAGTAACGCCTGCCCTAGGGCAAGGAGGGTGCATGTGGCACATCTGCCATCTGTTTGCCAGGCTCAACTAGTTTTCTTTCTAGCTTTTGGATACCTGATTCTTCGGCTCCTCCCCAGCTCCTCTTCATTGACCGTCCGTGACAGTACTGCTGGTTTAGTTCGTGGTCCTCCCTGCTTCCCCATTTACTTCCAAGGCTGAGATAAGTCACTTCCAATGTGTGACGACAATTCTTAAATCTGTATTTCGGACCCCCAAATCCAGTCATTTTGGGATTTAAAAAATGCTTAAAGATGCACTTCAAATATTTTGCCCTTACATCAAATTAACATGCATAAAATAGATCTGCTATCACCTTCAAATGATCCCCCTTGGGTTTCACTATTTACTGTGAGTCACAATGCTACTCGTAGTCATACACCTTCAAACTCACCCAGATCCCACCCTCTTCCTCTTCTCACTGCCATCTGACCAGTTGCAACATTGCTTTCCAATGTCCGTACCTCTCTCTCCATTTCTTTCTATGTTCAGCCATCGCCTGCCTGCCTCACTGGCTCCGGCTCAGCCCGGCACGTCCCTTAGTTACCAGTGCAGCAGCTTTGGGCCACTGCTTCTCTCGCTGACACATGTGCACTTCTCCACTGGCCTGGGCGTGGCTTCCCTGGCCACATTCAGTGTGACCCAGCCGCTTCTTTCAACCAGACTGTCTTTCCTACAAAAAGTGCCTTTTACTGAAGAATCCCCAAGCCCTAAGCCTGACCTCTCCCCCTCCCTCCCCAGATCAAATCCCTGAGCTCAGAAACCAGAACTGCTGCTGCAAGTGCTAAACTCCTGTGAAGTGGATCTACCCTAAGGACAAACACCTTTGGTGGTACAACAGATGAGGTGAACAAGGCTGGAGAGAAACCTACATATGGGTCTCGTATCCAGCAACCCTGTAAGGAAAGGAGCGCCAGGTCCACAGAGACTCCTCGGCTCCTGGCATCTTCTCAGGACAAACACCAAACACGTGAACTCAGAGCCAGACACCAAACACACAGCAAAGGACAAAAGATTTAGGTCCAGTGGACTGCAGATGCAGACTTTAAAATATCTATCTGTGAAATGTTTAAACAATTTAAAGAAATGGGAGCTCCTAAATTTTCAAGCAAAAGGAAACCATGAAGACTGACCAGGCAGATAAGAAAAAAAGGTAGGTCATAGGTCATTTTGGAAATACAAATTATAATTTGTTAAAAAAAACGAAGCCCTTCACAGATGGGTTGAAAGAAGACTTGTTGGAGGATTGTTGAGCAAGGTAACAGATTTGGAGGAATTGGCTAAAACACAGAGAGAGGAAAAGAAGAGTGGGCACAGTGAAGGAGAAATGGTGGGGTGCGGGGAGAAGACTTAGAAGGTGTAACATACGCCTGACAGCCAGAGGGGTGGCACCAATATTACAGGATTGTTGAATCAC